CCTTCTTTGCCCCGCGAAACTACTCCCGCCGCAGCGAATGTGATGCTGGAGAGAAGCCTTCCACTCGATCCCGCTCCTGGAGGCGGCATGCGCACCGGCGACCCACGTCGCTCGTGGCCGCACCGGAAATCCCGCCTGCCCTCCTGGCCTCCGTCGCCCCTCGTTTTTGTCTCGCGCACCGCGTGGGCGCTACGAAATACGCGCTTCCGCCGCCGCGCCGCTCCGCCCCTCCCCCCTCCCCCACGCTGCTCCGGGCTCTGGTCGCGCGGCCGCCGCCGCCGCCGCCGCGCTGACCGGCTGCCAGCGGCATTAAAAACGTTGTGGATGTTTGTATACATAAGTTAATAAATATCTGCAAGTCAATAAATGACAATTACATCGGAACAAAGTGTACAATAAGGCCCTTTTTGACGATGTTTAATTCATTGATTGATTAGTGATATTGGGCGCGTCAAGTGCGGAGGTCGTTTCTTGAATTAAGTGTAGTGTGTTTCATTGCGAGAGGGGGCGGTGATCGCCTCCGCAGAATGGTGAGATTTTCCCCCACCAGGTATCTCCCACCAGCGTGTGGAGTGTAGCGCAAGCAAGTGCAAGTGGGGTAAGTAAGTAAGGGGTGAGGAAAGAACAAGAAAGAGGACGGATAGAGCGGTCGCGAGGTTTGATAGGGTTCTGATCCGCCATTCGCCTAGCATTGATCGGACAAAACACAGACAACTTTCGATCAGAGCTTATTCGATCTAAGCCACGTATGCTCTGCTTCCTCACAGGTCGGAGACAAATCTTCAGTATTTTAGGCATATTTAAGCGGATGGTAATTTGCAGGGTAAGCCACAGTGTGGGGCAGCAGAGGCAACTTGTCCCAGGCCCCCACTAAAGCGGGTCCCGAAAACTTAGCCGAAGTTAATTTCCTTCAATGCATTTTTTAAAATTAACTATAGTTTAAATAATATTCAGTTAACATATATTAATATTTAGTAATAGTAATAAATAAGAGGAACTTTTGCTGGAAATAAGGGGGCCCCATGGATATAATGCTCCGGTCGCTCCTGGCAATTAGAAGTGAAAAATGGGAACAGCATCCGGGATGCTCCGACTTCTCGCAATATAACTTTCGATGCGCTTGAGCGGCTTGTGTGTATGCGTGTAGTTTTGCAAAAAAAGAATGTCTTTCGCAACCCATTTCGGCGATCTCGCGAGCAGAATCTGTCTAACGTGCACAAGGTTTGACACTTCAATTCGTAATCGTCATTTCATCGGTTATTTACAACCAGAGAACGGACCTGCTCAACATTGGGATCAGTAGTGGACGAGGTTGGACATCTTGCTCTTATCTCATCCTGCATAATTGTTTGATTTCTTTTGAATGGTTCAGTTCACTGGCGAACTCTACGCCAAGTAAAAACATTAAACACACATTGCGCTCAATTCTCCAAAGAATTTATACCCATTCAGACACAGAAAACGGATTACGAAGACGAGTTCTTTTTTGTTCAAACGAAAAATAGTGCAACCATGTTTACGTCACAATACCTCAAGCGAATATTAGATGTTAACGTCGAAACTTACCGTACGTAAAATGAACGGTGTCATCTCAAGGTTGGTAAGTGCACAGAGCTGTACAACGTACAGTGAACATACAGACGATTAGAACGAAAGAGGAGATACATATTAACTTATCCTCGTACCTAATGTGTATAACTCCCTTATTAGTTCAGGGCCCTTCAGTCTACGCGACTCTATTCCCGACACTTCGCAGGTCTTCATAGCTCGCGGATTCCCGAAACAATGACCCGTCCGTTCCTCTGCATTGTCCATGCTTCTGAGAGGCAGCGGACTCGGATGTTGCCCATGGGCACGTCTTTCTTTTCTTGACGGAGGGTAACTGTCGGACTATGAGTGAAAGGATATTGTTGGAAAGGTTATATCTCGCTTCGTACAATCTCAAAGTTTTCTCTAAAGTGTGAGAAAACGTAAATCCTCTAAAGACTACGTTCTGTTTCGTATTTTATTTATATTTAATGTGCATTATAACGTCGGCGTCGACAATTGTACCTCGTTTTTATTAGAGTTGTCTTACTCTTATTGCAGCACTTCTTTTTCAGAAACATTATTGAACATCGTAACACGTCTTTCAAACAGTTGTCGAATGTTTTATGATGTTGCCGTTTTAAATAATAATAATAATAATAATAATAATAATAATAATAATAATTATTATTATTATTATTATATGTAATATAAATTACAATACATAATTATGTGAATGCATAGAGAAGAAATATTCTGAAAGCACCAGTATGGCATCAAAGTCTATTGGTGTTTATGGTTTCTGTTTATTTATTATTATTATTATTATTATTATTATTATTATTATTATTATTATTATTATTATTACTTCATACCGATCGAAAAATTATTCAAAATCCTTTGGATTTTCCCATAAGTTTAAGAAGGTTAAATGCGTGGAGCACTAAAATTTTTCAAAGCGTCTTTGAAATTTTATCTCGTGTTAAACTAATATTCAAAGTAATTCCAAGTTCGCTTATGGGACAAAGCTGATATGAGTGGTGATAAGAAAAGGCGAATAAGTCCTAAAACACAGCTTTTCAGGAGAAACAAACATTTGTTTATTTCCATCAAACTTATGCGAAATTATTCTAATAGCTTTCTCACGTGAATTATGTTAGGACAATAGTAGAGATATTTGGAGTTTGTAATACCATGTAAGTATGGAAATAAATACTTTTTTGCTTCTTTTGAAAAACTGTCTTTAATGACCTATTCGTGTTTTATCTAGCATCCTAAAATTCGTATTTAGAGATGTAGCATCTTTGGTCTTTCTTTCTTTTTAAATTTATTTCCTTTTGTTTTGTTTTTCTATAATCTTATGAGATAATCGTTTTTCTATGATCGTGATTAATGTTTCTTCAATCCAAAGATATACATGTTGTTTGTTGTTTTTGTGACTTTCAATCTCAGCTTCTTATTTCGAAGGCGGTGAGTTCTTAACTTGCAAAAATTAAGGTCCGGGTAGCGAAATCCGATCTCCTGGCTTCTGGATGCCACCGAGGCATGCGCGCTCTCCAGACGCACAACTTTTTGTAGAACCCCTCGGTACAGTTTAAGGAGGCCATTATGATGCCATTAGAATCTCCTCTAGTTCTCTCTCTTTTTCTATTTCATATAAAATAACGTTTGTTATTTTAATATATTCGATAACTCAAAGATTCGAATTTTGCTTCCCCTTTCTTAGTGTAAACGTGTTCAAGACTGGTTGTGTTTTTTTTTTGTTTTGTTTTTTTTTTGTTTTTTTTTCAGGTCAAAATATTATACGAAGAGACTTTCTTTCAAAGTTTTCTTTTCAACAGAAGGGAACAATGTAAAGAGGGGCTTTGGTCGTTGAGTTCGGACTAAGTAGTTGCATAGACGGAAATGTCGTGCGAGGAACCATGAACACTTTCGAATTGCGTCTGAGGAACGGAAGGAAGCCTTTTATCTTCTCCGAATGAAATGCAATTCTATGACAGAAAGTTGCGACCATTCAAATGCGATGCGTCGAGGCAATGCAAAAAATAGAACACATTAATGAAATGCATGGACAGCTAAAACGGTAATAAACAAAAGTAAAATGTGTTCAGAAGAATACCAAATACATGAAGACTTGCATTGTACAATCTGGGCAAGATATAACATTCCTAACGCTAAGAGGTGTGGAGCTAGACTCCTGTTTCTATTTTTAATGAATAGTACGAGAAAATTGCATTTTGGCGTGTAGGTAATTTTTTAATGTGCCAAAAATGTCCGTAACTTTGTAATAAATAAACAGTTTTGTAAATTACACAAGTTTCAATAAGAAAAGTTGTTCACTGGAACAGCTTGATTCCCTCCTAAGAGAGTTGCAGAAACGCACATCAAATTAAACAGTGATTTTCAATAAATGTCTTGAAAGTTCGAGGTGTATTGTTGTTACAGCGCTCTTTACATATTCATTTTACTCCTGTTGTTGCCATTGATTGTTTAGATTGAATGTTGCTTTTGAGTTTGCCAGAATACAAACACTTGTTTTCAACGCCGAAGATGACGAGTAGTGAGACGTAATAGTGCTAGTGACTGAGTAGCGGAAATGTCGAAAAGAAATTGTCATAGAATTCGTTATAGTATACAATATTTAGCATATAGAAAATGTTAGACGTTAAAGTTAGACATAATCATAAATAAAAAATGAATTTCATGTGACTCCAAGAGATTTTATGAATAGTATCATTAATTTCCAAGAAATTTATTTGAAAAATGAAAGGCTGAAAGCTGTTTTCTGACAAAATACAAATTCTCCCTCTTCGTATTCATTGAACACACGTTTTATTTGTAAGGAAAGGATTAAAGCAACATTTTCCTTCGGGGTCCGCGCAGACCCCTCTCACCATTGCACAAACACTCAATATTATGCGTAATTCAGCGCACTTTAAACACGAGGAGGGTCCAACATTGCTGTGCCCCTCTTGTCAAATGAACTTTATTTGCACATTTTTTTACTAGCAAATGTATTAAACATACAAGGGGATTGAAATTAGATTGAATTGAGATCATTATAATTAATAAATACAATTGATTTTATGTTAACCTATAGATGCGATTGCCAGATAGCTCAGAGAGCATCTTCCTCAAATTTCTTATTTCCCCAACTATCGGGTTAAAAGGGGAGATGTCAGAAATTGTATGTATTAAGGAAATAAAATGTTTTATCACATAAGGGTACAGGACCCTTTAAAAATATTCGGGGGGCACTGATCCCTGCCACCCTTATGCGCATGCCTATGATATCAAGATATTTGGAAGGTTAATTGAATAATTTTAGTAGCCCTTAAAAAAGATTCGTATTATTATCGGGGGGAAAGTGCACATCAACCATATATGACACCGTCTGAACCGTAAAAGCTCATTTTTCACGGGGGCGGAGACAGACGTCGCTCCTTGACTCGATCTCATTTCGTTCTTGTGCGAACGGATGTGATAAAACGAGGAGCGTAGCACGTCACAGCTCATAAAGGCCCGCCGCGCCGCGCCGTTCGTCGACCTGTTTGACGCACGCCAGACGGGCGCCGGCCCTCGCCCGCTATAGCGATACGGGAAAATGGCGGTGTGACGGGGCTGTGGTGGTGTGTGGTGGCTAAGTTACTTCAACGATATTTTCCCTCACACTTCACATATTTTATTGGCATTTCAAATCTAGTGTCAAAGTCTTAAAGGTAAGCGCTGGGTTATGTTTAGTAATGTACATTTTCTGTTCGAGTAAATGGATTAGTGATTTCCAGGCTGACCATATAAGCTTATATTCGGATGTAGGGCCCTAAGTCGAAATTGAAAGCGGTGGTGGTATGTGCAGTATGTTTCGATTGTGATTTTCTCCATTGACCTCTCTTGGCTACCGAGATCTTGATACAAATTTGTACTTTTATGTCACAATATAAAAGTATTGAAGTGTAGCAGACCATTCAGAGTGACATCTGTTTAGGCTGAATGGAATTGTAAAGATTCTTACACGAAACCTTTTCTATTAAAGAGAGTAGGTACAGAATTAGATTGTTAATTTTCGTTTCATGTATCATGAAACAGAATTGGTAGTAATTTTTTTTATTCTATTTTTCATGCATTTTGAACGATCTTTTAATGGAATTACCTAGTTTTTTTTAAGTATTATTGTTCTATAATTCCTATTTATCTGAAATAAACCGAATTATATGTATTATGTTTCATTCATTAGATCTGTATTAAAACTAAACATGTCATCTGGTAGACCAATCAAATGTGTTGTGGTTGGAGATGGAACTGTTGGGAAGACTTGCATGCTGATATCGTACACTACTGACAGTTTCCCAGGGGAATATGTACCAACAGTGTGAGTAATGAAAATGAAAGAACGTATTCTATATCATTTTAAATGTTTTCGCTAATTAAATTATACTTTTTTAGGTTTGACAATTACTCTGCTCCAATGGTAGTAGATGGCATACCTGTTAGTCTGGGCCTCTGGGACACTGCTGGCCAGGAGGACTATGACAGATTGCGGCCTCTTTCCTATCCACAGGTATACTAGTGTATTTGGTGTGCCAATGTGCTACATTATTGAATTTGTTAGAAATACTAAGAAAATGGAATATGAGTTACCGACCAAAATGTTCATGTCTCTTACAAGAGATGTGTTTTTTATTTATAGTGGAAAATGTATATCATGATTGGATTTCCAAAACTGTGAAAATGCAACATTTGTACAAAGGAAATTATGTTCAGTATTCTTAAGACTAGGGTTTCTTGTGCTGTTGTTTATTCATGTTACAAGTAATTATATTTTGTTGTTTCAGACCGATGTATTTTTAATTTGCTTTAGTGTAACCAGCCCATCATCATTTGAAAATGTTACTTCAAAATGGTATCCTGAAATTAAACATCACTGTCCAGATGCCCCTATGATCCTAGTTGGTGTGTATTATATTTTAACAAAAACAAGCTTTAGTGTTATTACTTTTGAATTTATGTTCTCACATCAATCTTAATTTTAGGTACAAAAATAGATCTAAGGGATGATCGTGAAACCTTAACTGCTTTAGCTGAGCAAGGTTTGTCCCCTATAAAAAGAGAGCAAGGACAAAAATTAGCTAATAAAGTTCGAGCAGTTAAATATATGGAATGCTCTGCATTAACACAACGAGGACTTAAACAGGTTTGTTTTGTAACTATATTGGAAATCCTATTTGCTTTTGAACAGGAATAATTACAAATTAAAATAAATGAAAATACTTCATGATATATTATCTTATCTCAGCTCACCTAATTTTAGCTAATTTAGTTTTTAGTATTTTAAGTATTTATGCCTTTTTTTATTCCACTAATTCTGATTATATTCTATTAAACCTATTATATTTGCTATGTTTTGTTCATTTTTAGACATAAACTATCTTTTTGTTTCTTGTGTTTATGAAGGTGTTTGACGAGGCAGTGCGAGCAGTTTTGCGACCTGAACCTCAGAAGCGTCGACAAAGGAAATGTATTATGCTCTAGATGCAATGTGAGCTCCTAGTACCAGAAGGGCCAGTGCTTTATGGAGTTTTCTGCTATGAAGCATTAGGATTCCTTTGCTTTAAGCAGGAGTATTTTGATCCTTAACTGTTTGCAAAGTCAAAAGAAGGAATGCAGGAAAAGCCTACATAGAGAAGCTTTGGAACGTCCTATTGTTACAAGATATGCGCCCTTTTAATTTAAGGAGGATACATTTGAGATGTTTGAATATTGATGAATGACTTGAAATTTGTGTGTTGCAGTTACATTTGGGCTGCTTTTATAAGATATGATTGAGGTAAGTTATTTGTTGAAGTCATTACTACAATCACATGTTTTATACTGTATTACTTATTCAATGAGTTTGATGCTCTGTCTAATATTCCCAGTGTCAATATTTCATTGTAATACATGTGTGACACTCATATATTTTTTAATATCTAATTGATTCATTGTTGCCATACCAGATCATGATCATTTTCTGTTGTTTAATTATTGCAGTTAATATAAATTATACTTTGTGCCATAACAGAATGCTGTAAGACATTACATTTAATGCGGTTGCAAATTACTTTTCTGTATTTATAAATTATTCGTAAATGTGAGTCTATTATCAAAAGGAATTGATTGTAAAAATGGAAATGTCCCTTGGTCTTGAGCCATCTTGCTCGTCATGAAAAAATTGGGTCTGTGGAGGGGATATGAATCATCTGCAAATGTGCAAATGAGAGTTGGAAATGGTTACTGTTGAAAATATTGACAGGCAATTGTTTTGTATTATCTGCTTTGCAAATAAATGGTTTTATCTTTCATAATACAGAACTATGTATGTTAATGTTCTCGGGTCTTGGAGTGTGATTAAGAAAAGTAATCTATTAAGCATGGAAAAGTATTTGTGTATTTTCTACAAATGTTTGAAACTGCAGTGTCAATACCAGTAACAAATAGATCTGTGCTATGTCATGTAAGGATTGTATACTGTGCTTCTAATAGTACATTTTGAACAAAGTCTCTGTAAAAGACACGCTGTGAATATAAACAAAATAAATGAATATCTTTTGTTCAGGAGAACTTCTTCAATACTTCTTGGGAGACTTTGTTACATATTTCAATGTTTTCATGATCACTGCCATAATCTTCTTCTCATTTTATCTTCCATGTGTCAAAAGCCAATCAGAAACGCTTCTCTTGTGAAGCTATGCAAATTAGAAATCATAATTAGAAAAATTGATAGAGTATGACATGAATATATTTGGTGATTATTTCCACATTGGTGGTAAACGTGGTGAAAGATCAAGGATTATTTCCAAATATGATTCAGGTGGCTTTGGTATGAACTGTCATGCTTTTTTAGGGGAGAATATTCCGTGGCTGTAAATTTGTCTTCTCAATTCCCATTTGCACATAGTGATCTATTTGCAATGGAATAAGGGTGCCCATGGAAGAAACTCATGAGTAATTTAGTTAATAACTTTTTTTTATTGTTATCAACACTACATTGTAGTTGGTTCTATAAATTGCATGAATACTTACGCAATTGCACAAATGATAAGCTTAATACAGAATGTGTGTCCATTATCTCATTTACCATAAGCACAATAGTTCTGCATATTTTTAAGTTGTATAGAGAGTTGCATTTAGTGTATCTAAAATGTGAATAACAGGCATCTCAGTTGTGGAGAAGTGTGTAGTATTATCAAAATAATGAAGACTGCTCTTTTTATATAATTGTATAATTTTGTTACTTGTGCTTGCAATTTTTTAAATAACTGTGAGTACTTGGGTTTTAGAAATAAGTGAAATGTAGTATTTCATGAAAACCTTAGCTGCTTTTTCATTTATTGTGTATTCCCTTCAGGCATAATAGTATATTTGCCTGTGCTTCTCATTGCTGGTGTTAAGTCATATATTGTAGTTACCAGTTCTGACTGCCACTTTCTACTGAGAAACTGTGCACCTTTCCCAGCAAAAATAAATCCTCTATAATGGAACAGTGGGTGAAGAAAGTTACTTTGTTGTGAAATAATAATATATTTTCTGCACTTACGTAAAGCATTTATAAGTTTAGAAATATCATCCTTATTTATTCACTTTTTATTGAAATATTTGTTGAATGATGTCTTAAGTTCATGATGTAGTGTCATAAGCAGTTAAAACCTGCTGCTGGTTTTAGTTTACTACCTTGTAACCTAAAGAAAGAATATTTATAGCAGTTTTTAGTATGAAAAAGAAGTGATGCTCGTGAGTTGCATGTGAATTACTTCACAATTCAAATGATTAAAGGAGATGAATATGCATATTGAAATATAAGCCCAGCTGTGGAATGTGGAATAGTAATTATATAAAATGAGTTGTTAATTCACATGCTTTTCAGATCTTTGCTTTATTCCAAGATGAAGGCTCATGCCAAAGAGTTTTGGTACACCTCTGATTTAATTGCATTATTTTATCTCTAGAACCTCTGTTGTGAAAATGTCGATGGCTCGGTTTCAATGCTCTCTAATCATACAAATTGCTTCCTTAAAAATATGGTGGACAAAATATTTTTGCAATATTTTGTCATCAAGCTGTTTGTTGTCAGTTCTGCAAAGACAGTTTTTGAAACCTGGCGAACATCCACCACATTCTGCAACCAGGCATTAGTTATTACAAGGTCTTCTAAGATAACTTTTTTTTTTAAGAACTGATTATGTAGTTCAGTGATCTTACCCATGTATTTGTTATGGATCTGTTTTAAAGATTTGTATGGTACATGTTCATTTGTTTTAAATCGTATAATTTCTAAAGCATGTTAATTTGGATGTGCTAACATTTATTCTCAACCAAACCTACATGTTCCTTGAACTAAAGTTTTATTGAGGTTATTTTGGTTTATAACACAAATTTTTAAAATGTTAATGTTGCTTGCCCAAGGAAAGCAGTCCTGACTCAAGAGTATGCAGTGAATGCATTATTTATTTAGCCTTTTATGCTTTGTAATTTTATGAACTGCATTTTCAAGAAGGGGAGTCTCATTGCATATCATTAGTAATTTCCTCAGGATCTCTTTATTTTTTTATTTATTAAAATCAAGTCATTTTTGCAATGTTTTATGGCACTTTTTTGCAATAGAACTCATACAAAGTTGTTAAGTGGATTTCTTTCGTATAAATTTTGTATCACAAAAGTAGATTGCTATTAACTATTTGAAATTGTTATTGCTAAAAGAATAGTAGTATCATTTTCCGAATATGAAAAAAGTTGCCATTCCTGAGGAGTAGAGATTTAGAATGAACATGTATTGGAAAGGTGCCACTGATAATCAGGTTGTGATGAAGGTAATGCTTATGGTTATGTGCTTTTGGTTTATTCAAAGTACATCTTACATTTCTGGAATGAGATTTCCTTAAGTTGGAATGAGATGTGAAACCTATTTTGCATTTTATTTAAAATCAAAAACACACTAAAATTCATAATACTCATTTTTAACTTGTAATGCATGGATGTGTACTCTGTATTTGTGGTTTTATGAAATCAAGTGAATAATTAACCAAAGTATGTCAGCCAAGTAACTGACAGTTTTTTAATAATTCTAGTCAAAAGTTAGTTACACTGCAGTGAAAAGCATATTACTTTAATAATTGTAAGGGAATTATCCAAACATTGTGTTAATTATTGTGATTTTATAATATCTTTATTTTAAAACAAGGGAAAGAAGAAATAAGACTCAGGAAAATTATGTACATAAACAATAACAAATTTGTAAAGAAAATATATTGATCGCAATGTAACTTTTGTCCATTACAACTAGCAATGAATAAATTGTGTGTGAAAACTGTCTTTTTTTAATACCTAACCTTACTTACAATAATTGTACTTTTTAGTATTTGGTGGTAACATACAGTCAACAGTGTAAAGAAAGAAAAAAAAAGTTACAATGTAAGATGTCAGATGATTGAATAACAAATTCTTTTTAATTCAACAACCTCCATAAACTGTACATTTTTAACAAGCCCTTAGTTTGTTCATTTTTAATTGGAAAATATATTTCCATATGAAGACTTGAAATGTTTATATTTTGACTTGTTGCAATAACAATTGTTTTGGAATTATAATGAGTAGTCTACTGCATTTTAATACTTTTTCTTGCTAGGAAACTAAAGATGACTGTGAAGAACTTTTTCTGAACTCAATATTCAATGTTTTGTTTTTTATTTAAAGGAAATTTGAATTGAATTTGTGTTTCTGCTTATGCATTTAATGTTAATATTCAAAATATATGATAATGTGTATTCCATATATTGGTTTTCAGGTGTTGAAATTTTAACATTTCCATATGTTCCAAATGTAAATTTTGATCTGTCAAGAGTTTTATAGTTTGTGTGCTTGTTAGGTATTATATAATGGTTTCAATGTTTTATCACTTGAACTTTGGAGATTAAGTGTGTGTTAATCAAGATTCAATTTGCGGAATGATCCTTCAACCCCAAATTCCGCTGAATATTGTTCAGAATTAGATGGACGTTTGGTTTCATCTACTTTTTGTTCATGTTCTTCTTGATGGAACCAGTCACGGTAGCTTATCAACTTTTCCAACCATTTTTCTGTTAGGAAAAATGAAAAATAATAATCATTTTATGGAAAAGATTCATGAATTTTTATTATTAATGAATTATGAAGAATTATTTTAGATTTAGGTATTTTGCATTAACTCACCATTTAATTCTGCTAATGATGGTAAGGTTCCACCATAGTCTTCAGGGATAGTATCTTGTGGAAGGGTCTCAAATAACCTGTGATTATCTCTAGGATGTATGCACATCTGTAATGTAATTAATTGACAATGTCAGTTAAATATCTTTCTCATACTCTTCTCATATATTTTAAAACATGCTGATATTACCACTTACTCTTTTGAAAACTTTTTCTTTGAGAAATGGCCTCAAAAGATTTGAAAGCTTCTCCACTAATGTTGAGGCGTTTAGTACATGTATTGCTTTAACTCTGCTTTTATAGATGTTCTGAAGAAAAAATACAAGTGAGGTAAAATTTACATTTGTGTTCCATATATTCAAGTTTTAAGGACAGTATTTAGAGCAACACAATAATACAGTTATGTTGGTTTTGGTGGGGACTTTCTTAAATTCTTTTAAACATTATTTTGGACTGTCTTTTATCATTGTTGGATAATCTACTATTATGATTGTTTAATGCTTCTTCCCTTGGAATTCAGGAACTTTGTGCATACAATCATGTTTTAATGCTTTGAAGTATTCTTCAAATTGGGATTGAACCTGTTTAATTTGAAATGCATTTAACCATTCATTTTTAAATGATGTCACTTTAGTTCAATGCTGTGATGATTTTAGAAATAGAACGCATATTGATAGTCTCTTAAAAGTAGAAGTTCTGCTGCCATTCTTAATATCACTTCTTTAAATTTACTTAATTACTAACAGCTTCTTCTACCTGCAAATGTAGAGATTTTGGTAAGAGCTTTCCATGTAGCAGTAATATAACTACACTGTCACGAACTCAGTGCTGACAGGTACCAGGTATTTAAGGCCCTTGGCAATAAATCATGGGGCCCTTTGATCATGTAGTTTGTGAATTGAATTTTAAAGATTTGCCAATATTTTGACCTTTTAGTCATAAAAATTATCCTAATTGGTAAAAATAATAATTTTTCTTGTTTATTTGGGTACAGGAGGCAAGGTTAAAATTTCAAGTTGCAATGCTGGGTCTAATTTACCTTATTACTCAATCCAAGAGGGCATTTGTAAAATTGTTGTTTTTGAAAAATAATTTACCGAAACCTAGATTTTATATTTTTGCAATAAAAATTAATATTTTAACAATTCTATAACACAGGTTTGTTTTTAAACAATGAATCTCTCATGTAACAAATAGTAACCCATAATCTGTGTATAGGTAACAGGAAGCATATACCTGAAGTACATTTCAGATAAATCATTTACCTGATTTAGTAGCTGTGAAATCAAGTATTATTTCTGAAATGTCCATTCTTGCTGATATATCTAAATGATATATTGTTTAATTACCGTAGATACATAGTAGCTACATTGCAGCAACTGTGAAGTTTAGTCAAAATTATAATTATATAATTTTATTTTCAATATTGAATTTGTGAATATATTTTGAAGATTATACAGGAACAATCCTGTGTAGTCATTTATACAAGATTAATAATTCTTGTTACAATTAATTGGTAAAATGGAAACTGATGAAGTATTCTTTTCATTCCAGGCACTCCACTATACACATTTTCATGTAAATATTACAAATTAATTTTACGTTCCTTAAAAACTTTTCAAATTCACAGACACTTCACTATTTGACCACAACTCATCTTCACAAATCTTTTAAAAATTGAAAAACTTCATGAGCTGATGGAGTATTGTTTCTACTACATTATTATGAATCTTTATCCAAAGGGTTCTTTGAATGGAAGTATTTCTTTTTCAAATAAACTTAAGCTTTGAGACTGTGCTGACTGTTTTCAAAACAATCATGATTTAAAAAACCTGAACTGTGAGGTGCTACTCATTTTATTATTGTATACCATAACAATTTGTCAATGATCATTTTGCCTTCAGTCAGGCACAGATCCATGGGGAGGGAAATTCCACCTACGCACCCCTAAAATTTTCCAGTAATAATTAATTTAAATTGTCATGAAACTTTCATGCTAAAATATTTATGAATAATCATTAAAATGAATAAAATTGTATTGCAGCATGAGATGAGTGTAACTTGCAACATTTTACAAAATCTGGAATTACATATTTGACCAAAATATTTTAAATTTCTCCTCCCAAAAAGTATCTCTGGATCCCAGACTTTTCACACATGTTTCTATTTCTTTGGGCCACTGAAGATACACTTAGGTGGTAGCTAATTCAAAACTAATGCAGTGAAATCTAGGTAATACATAAAAGTAAATGTGTATCTAGTCCAAATGTAATAGCTGGAATTGTTTTTTTTACTAAAATTGTTTGACATCAATCATTTTCAGATTATTTTTTTTATACAGTAGTATCACATTTTAATACAGTTGTATCACTAAAATACAATTAAGAGATAGTAAATTCTGTTTTAGAATTAATGGTAGGTTAATGATGGTTTATATTCTCTGTAGTGAAGTAATCTTTAATACCTACTTTCTTAAAAAAAATGTGTATTATTTCAGGATTAACGTTATGAATTTTCAAATGCAATTGTATAAATTTGAAGTAATTTTGATCAATAAGTCCTGCAAATTACTACTGGTACAAGTACAATTAGATTTGAGTGAATGTCTTTCATTTAAAGATCTATCTGAAACTTTCTGGAAAAACTATTTTGCACTATGAAATTAAAGATGTCTTTAAGTCAAATATTTAACATAAAAATTGAACAAAGTCTGTGAGAAAGAAGAAAAAATTACAAACTGGTAACATATTTTTATGAAATAAAATAACATTATTTTTTAGTTAATAGCATATTTTAAATGAACCATATTTTCCAAAATAAAATATGAAGTATGATTATTTGGTTTCTATAAGTAAAACTAGAATGTATATTTCAAATTTTGTATACAACTATTAGCAATGAGGACAAACTCCATACATAATTTAAAATATTCTTTGTAGTTCATACAACTAATTGAAGTGAACACTTATATGTTTACTAAACTAGCACTACCTTAGATTTAGTTTTTAACTAACCTAAATTTCAGGGTGTGAGATTTTATCCACCCTGCAGCTCACTGACCAATGTAAATAGGTTCTATTACAGGAGAACAAATATTTCTTGTTATCAAATGTTGCTAACATCTCTTGTTACTATCTTTTTTCACATAGAACTAAATATGGAAGCAAAGTAGAAATTTCAGAACTCAAGAATACTTAAGACAGATTATACCTAAAACATAGGTGAAGTTTCTTGCTATGAAGTTTAAAATTAATGTTGTGGATTATATTAATTATAATAAATATAATCCTGAAAAAAATTACAAATTTTGAAAAACGCTCTATTTGTTTAAGATTCAAATATATGAAAGGTCTATTATGATTCATATTACAATTAAAAAAGGAATGGCTAGAGTACACTATTTCATTGCTTACAAACTCTTCAATACATTATCTCAAAGTGTTGTTAGTAACTAGTAATGGAATGTAAATCTGTATAATTACAGAATATCTCAGAAAAAATGTTACAAACTCGTAGGGCATCAAGAGAGGTTGAAATTGACCACTTTTGCCAATGAACATGTAATAAAATCCATAAAACGAAGGTACACGTGTTATATTTGCCCCTGATTTTTAGGCAACTCTTTATACACTGGTGTTCAACAGATTAACGAAATCCCTTTGACTACGTCAGATTGTGATCAGTAAAACATCCGAGTATAGTGAGTTGCCCGTCAATCAGAAGCAAATGGCATTGTAATTTCGTTTGAATGTGAGATTTATCACCACATTTTCATTGGGAAAAAGTTATCGTTTTCGTTCCCCAACATCGCCTAGGATATCCCTGCACGCAATCCTCGGATACTATCATCCCCTCACGTTTACTGGAGCCCCCATTTCACTAGATGCGAGAGGAGTGGGGGAGGGGCTTGCTTAATTTGTCGACAGGACTATTACATGAAATTTGTGGCTCATTTTTCGATATAAAATAGTTTCTATTGCAGGGAAGCGAACATTTTTGGTTATCAGATTTTGTCCACAAAACGTGTTGCTCTCATTTGTTCTGAATTCAACGAATGTTAATGAAGGAGTGGGGATAGGTATTCATGGGCTCAAGCACGTGAACGTATAATAACATTATTTTGGTACTCTGTATCTTTGTTTAAGGAAGGATTTATTGTTTCATCATTTAGGACTTTTATTGTATTATTAAAATATTTTTGAACGCTTAGGAATAGTTTCGTCTCTCAACGCTTATCGGCTATTTACAAAACAATTGGAAAGCGTCTCATACTTGGAAACTTCAGCATTACATTACGACAGGTCTGACCATAAACACTTTACAATCTTATTGCAGTAGCTGTCGATGAAAATAACAGCTGTCCAATCGGGGCAACTTTGAATGTTGAGCTAATTCTTAAAAAAAAAAAAAAAAAAAAAAAAAAAAAAAAAAAAAAAAACAAAAAAAAAAAAAAAAAAAACCCACGGCGGAAACTTCGTAACGCAGGAAATACATCGTAATATATCGCTAATACTAATGAATAATGAGTCTTTATTGGACGGGTTCCAAGGGACGGATCCAAGGCGATCATTGTGTGTGTGTGGGGGCGGGGAGGGGTGTCATAGATTTTTGTTTAATAATAGATTTATTTGGTATACTTTATATTATTTTGTAATGTATATATGCGACAGAAGGAGCGGTTACACCACAAATACATTTTAGACGTTTCTATATTTTTTTCTTGTTTCATTTTTTTTCCCTACACTTTTCTCATTTTAATTTTTTTTCTCTAGGCTTTTGAGGGAGGCGTCGTACACACACATACTGGCCACTGACACGCCCTATACTATTGAACACTCCTTTGTTTATGTATTTCGGATACTTGGATGTCATTGGTATGCGACTTAATGAAATGTATTAGTGGGCCGTAGAAGTGGTATCACTTGCTCTTATTAACCGTCCTTACTCATTACTTGGTTTTGTAGTGCGAGTCGCAAAGAATCTGTGGAAAGTAGCCATCATCGGGTGGCGCGAGGAAGCGTGAGTGTGAGGGTTAGTTAGCAAAGCGAAGAAAGCAAGTTTTTAAGTGCGATGCTAAATAAGTGTTTTAACCCTTAGACTCTGTTTGGGGTCTTTTTTTACCCCAAGGGCAAATAATGTTTTGAAACATTCTGAAAATTATTCTCGCGAACTTTTCCTTTTAGATATTCTGTTTAAGTCCCGTTTTACATATGTTGGAATCGTTTGTTTTCTAAGTTTGTTTCTTTGTTGGAAATAATTTGATTTTTATGCGATTAGAGACTAAAGTGCCAAAAGTTACAAGAAAAATTCTAAAAACGTGTCTATTTTCGTTTTGTAATATTGTGTTGCGGTTTTTTAGTGGTCATTTTTGTGTGTCTATTACGATTTGATAGCCGTGTTTCAAACATTATCATGCTGATAAGATAGACAGCTATGTGTAGTAATGAGGATAAGCTAGAAAGTGTTTTTTTTTCGGAAATAACATTGTTATTTGTTATTTAGTACAATATAGAAAATAATGCAAATAAATGGCATTGTTTTTTCAATTAATAATTTCAAATGATATTGCTCCATAAAATAATTTGAAATTATTGTGTAGAAAGTTTGGGATCGAAAAAGACTCCAGAGTCCACGTAAGTATTTTAGAAACAGAGTCGAGGGGTGAAGTGCGAAGATCAGTGAGTGTCAGACTTTCACCGTCACACTTTAGTAATATTCTACTAGTTCTTATTTATATTTCCTCTCAACATTTACTTTGTGTTCTTTTATCCGACTTCTCTTGTAATTCATTGCAATTAGCTGTGACATCTGAATCCGCTTTGATGGTTAATTAATTTTGATTGATTTCGTCAGTTGCAAAGTGTATTTTAATAATTTCTGAAAAATTCCTAAGAATTCATTAATTAAAAGTCAAATCCGAAATTCAATTTATCCACTAATTGCGAGGATTTCAATAATTGCAACATTTTTGGGCACTTTCATTCTGTACTCATTTCTTTCATCAGTTTTGAATATATGGTCATAATGTTAGGGTTAAAACTACAAAAACTTAATAAGAGCTATATGTGATGTAGATGTTAAAATACCATTAGTTAAAAAATGTAAAAGTATATTTGCTTTCATATTAACTGAGTCAATTTTTAAAATTTCATGCCAAGTATGATTTAATTTATTTAAAGTATTTTATTTAAATTTTAATAAAAGTGTAGTGCTTTTGTGAACCAGATTATTCAATAAAACATTATCTACGAAAAAAGATTAAAATTATAATATGACGGAAATATTTGATAGTGATAGCCGTGAGTGAGGCGAAGAGATGCCTTGTTAATCTTGTAATTACTAACCTGTGTATAATACGAGTATTTTCGTATGAGAGGCATTGTGAGCGTAGAGAGGTGAGATGTAGTATATCCCGACAGGTCGACCAATAGGACGGTGCCGGCATTCACATCTTCCAACATTCGAATTTCAGTTGACATCATGCTTACTTTAGCGTATTCAATCGGAAGGCGGATGGCAGCGTCCGGATTGAGCATTTTGAAGGCGACGATGCGGTACCCCTCCGGAGTGAGGCGGGGCAACGGCGCCATTGTCCTGCGGAAAGGGCGGCGAAAGAGGAGGTACTCTGAGGAGGGACCACTTCGACAGATCGGGGAACAAGTGAACGTCGTGCAGGCCGATGAAGCCATTTACAAAGCAGCTAGCTTTAAACGAGAGTATTGATGAATTGAGTGCATGGGCATAACGTGCAGTTAACTTGCCAGCTATGACCAAGCAGTAACTGTCAAAACGGTCCCTTCTTATAGTAATATATCTTTAGAGAAGGCGAGGACACTTCTTCAAACACACGCAGCTTTACACATTTTGAAGACATTGCACGAAAGGCAACATTACATTGTTGCAAGAGGTTAAACTAAAGACTCCTCGACTCTTCCTCAATGCGAAATACTTGAATCTCCCCAACCGAATGATAGCAACATTTGAAAGTAGGTAAAATTGTGTTTTAAGTAACATTTATTTAATAGTATTAAAACTTAAAACTACAAAATGTACCATACAAATATATTATGTAACACTTTACAAAAATATTCCAAAACTAAAGATGTTTCTATTTTGAAATAATTGGGTTCTGCAACAGTTCAGACTTCTTTATTATCGATATCGATTATGTAATATTATAATATTGCACTTTCTACCCTATTACCATTTCAGCCATCACATGAAAATCTTCAGTACTGAAACGCAAAATTATGTGAGAACGACTCATATTTTGAAAAAAAGTGTACGTAAATGATTTTAAAATATTTAAAGATCGAATATAATTAAAGCTTATTTGGTTTTATTATTTTATCAGAGGTGTAATTTGAGTGGGTTCAAAGTACACTTGGTGATTATGTTTCACAAAAATACAATCAGCCATTTTTAGGTTAGACTCTTACTGGTTTTAAACTCATGTTTTTATAGCTGAGAGAATACTTTTGCTTTAAATTACCGAAATTTCATTAAATAATGAAAACGAAGGTGCGTGGTTAGAAAAGAAAGAGAAACAGAAGCTTAACACTTACTTTTAGTAGGTGAAAAGTAACTTTATATTTTCCTAGAAAAAACCCTCCATCTCTCAAGTTAATTTGTGCCTCTACTGCCACGTCAACAAACTTCTGTGAGTCGTCTTAAACTACCCCAACAGGTAAAACCTAGATCACTGTAGGTCCAAGGTACACATATTTCCAATGTATGTCACCTTCTCCTTCCAACTTTTAAAAAATGTCATGATTTCACTCCAAATTCCGCGAATAAAGCTTGCTGTTGTAATGGGGATTGTAACTCTTTTTTTTTCACATTTGTCATCTTCGCAATTTCAAACTCTTTAATGTAAAAAACCGTTTTAACATAATTTGCTCTTTTTTTTAGCAAAATTTTATAGAAGAAGCCAGTTTTGAGAAAACTTTGAAAAGTCAAATTAACTTCAAGTTTCGTAAGCTCTAATTTAAAAAATGATACTATTTTATACTTTCTATTACGTTTTTTGAAGGTGAAGCTTTGATTGGATTGTCAGAAACTTTATAGTTTGGTTCCTCAATAAAGCTACGGTATTTTCACTTTCAAAACAGTGATTTAAAAAGTTTGGAATGTTTGCACGGGTCCAACTAGTAAATGTACTTAATTCTTTCTTTGATTTATTTGCATTTAGTATACAAACACATGTTTTCAATCCTAATTGAAAACCACTTTCAGGATACAAATATTTCTGTATTGTAAAGTTAGCCAAAAAGTTAGGCTAACATTAAAAGCCAGGTTTCCCTACCCAACATCATCTGCATCCTTTTCATTGCCATTTTCATTTCATCCTACTTTGTATGCTATTTTTATTGTTCTAGATAAAAACTATGTTGCTATAGAAGGTGATAGGTGTCCTGTCATGTTTGGAGAGGTTGCAGGCATAAAATAAATACAAAAAGATGCTACTAAATTCCCTCATGACACATGTTTCTCTCATACACCCCAAAAAGTAATATTTCAAAATTATCAAGAATATCTTTGAGTGAAAAACTTGTAGCGTTATACGGGAAATGACTCGTTTGTCAAAAATGGGACGTACCATCTCTCTCTTTCTCTCTCTCTCTCTCTCTCTCTCTCTCTCTCTCTCTCTCTCTCTCTCTCTCTCTCTCTCTCTCAATGACAATCGATGTCAAAGAACTTAGTACAAAAAAATGAGTATTCGGTCAACTGGGAAGAAATTCGCGCGGCCATTTTTGAGCCGAATTAAAGCACATTTTGAGCAAATCTCCTAAGCGGGATGTTTGAAATGTGTCATCTTTCCTTAAGTGCCTTCAATGAGCAGCAAAACAGCTGTTCGAAGCGTGGCGCCAAATTTGAATTAAATTGGCGGTCGGTTGCCAACACGGTCCTTTGTGAGATATCTCCCTTATGAAAATGAAATTTTATTTTTTTAAAATATTTTTCAACTATATTTGCAAACTTGGCGCAAAAAACATGAACATTTTACAACTTATCAAATTTTATTTGTATCTACTTGCGAGTATCCGAGGTTAGTTATAATTTAGTTTATTTGATATGGATCGAGTACAAATACGGTAATTGGAATAATATCGTTTACAGCGTACGTAGAGGGACAACTAAAATTGAGTGTCAGTGACGAAACATCACTCAATGTTTTAGGCGCACACTGTATTTTCAAAATCTGCAAAAAGTTCGGAATTGTAATGGCAACACGATGATTTAAAAAAATCTTGGAATCCATCCCATTGTTGTCGGTTGTGATGATTGTATGATGCAGATAATATTTTTATGAAAGGAAATACAGTGACAGAAGTTAATACATTTAATTAGAATTAACAAACACACTTCTTTACTTAAATAAGTTTTGATCGCTGGTTATGGTATTTAAAAATTGACAGCTGACTTCTGTGAAATCAATACAAGCTATATTCTTTCTTGTATGTATAATGTGCTGCAAATACTGTAACTGTTAAAATTATTCATGTTTGTTTCCTTTGTAAAAGTGAGAAATGGCTAATGTTCCCGGCTATCGAAATAAACGCATGTATGCACATGATCTTTGTTCGAATTGGTTGAATTTGACTTATTCAAGTTATAACTGAGATTTTAGTACGGAAGACATTACAATATTTCAATATCACATTACTGTTTCTATAATGCAAGAGAATGTGCTGTTGCACCTCTAGTTTTCTAGGATGTTATGGGCATTAGGCGTGTAGCAGTAAAAATGTCTTCCTAAATTGTTGACTTTCGGCCAAAAGCAGTGTCGAATTCCTCAGGAAATGCTGAATGAAGGCAATGACGATCCAGAATCACTGAAACGGGTCAACTTCACACCATTCGCGTGAAGCACTCTGAAAGAAACGTCCGGTAATTTTGGCGAAACGAGGCATTGAAAACGAGAGTGGGCTATGCCACAAATGTTCCCAAAATGTGTTTTTTTACATTGTTACGTAGTACATTGTTTTATTTAATAAATGGCACCACCTTCTCATATGTTTCGAGTGTCAATATTCGCTAAAATGAAAACGGGTGTCTGCTGAGCTATAGTAAGGCACGCTGCGCATGTCGTTTTCCTCTCTCGCGCCACGATGACACGTAATCGTTGGTTTAACACATGGACGGCGCTGAAAGTGTGTTCACAGTAGCTTTGACAAACGGAAGACAAATGTGAGTGATTGGAAGAAAGTGAAATCCAAATTAAATAGAGAAAATGAAGTTGACATCATTATTGATTGTTTTGTACGAAGCAAAATTTATGTTCTTTTAAAATAATGGAACACGGAAAATCATGATTTCCCTTGACTTTGTGACTCTTCCACAATGCTTCCACAATTATATTTCAGTTATTATAAACACATGTTGAAACTGTTTAATAAATGTACGTACGATTTACATGTGTTATCATAGTAGCAAACAATGCTGAAATCTTGACGTTTCCGTTTTATGAAAATCATCCAACTTCACCTCAAGTAGCTAAGGACCTAAAGAAGTTGCTATAATTGTTCAAGGTTATTTATTATAGGCATTTAAAATGTAATAAAGCGTACATTAACATGCTCAAATTCTTTCCCTGAAAAACAACTAATTACTTCGGGATTGGATAGCTCACTTTTTTTCCTACGCCTCAATGCATGACATCTGCTCACACTTCACTGCTTGTCCATCAATTTTCACCCCAAAAAACATGGCTTTTACGATGCCTCAGTCTCTATATTCGTCGGACATGGCGGCGTGTGACTTCGTGTTTTTCCCAAAGCTATACTTGAAAGGAAGAGGTTTTGCCAACAATGAATTAAAATCAGAATCTCTGTAGGAGCTAAACGCCTTTCCGAAAACTGCGCTGTAGACGTACTTGGAGGACTGGAAAACGCTGCCACAAATGTATTATATTTCAAGGGAACTATTTTTAAGGGATTAAAATCAATATTTATGAATAAATATTTTTTTGAGAAAAACGAAGTTTCTGCGTACTTATTGATCGTAAAATAAGATTTGATTCTGGAGACGGCTTGGGATTATCCAAGACTCGATTAACTGAGGCTGTCATTAGGACAAGCACCCGAGCGGTACTCACAGTGCCAGGGGGGGGGGCGCTGTGAGGAGGCGGTTCAAGTTCCCAGTTGTCAGGTTCGTCCGGAAACCCATCAGTTGGGTCGCTACCCGCCGAACTTCTTATTAACTTCTCCCCATAGCACGTCACACACAGTTTTTAACTGTTTTGGCGTAAATAAATAAAAGGGGAGAGGATACCATGAAATGGGTCAAATGATCGATTTTCAGTTTTCGGATAAAAAAAAATAGTTTAAACTTTGGTCAGCGGGGCATGCTTCAAGACCTACATATAGAAGTGCGACAGGGGACACGAAGTCCGCTAGGTTGCTCCAGATTGCGGCGTTACTGACGTCGGCAGCGTCAAAGGGGACGCAGTCAGGAGACGAGTTGGAGGGTCCAAGCCTCCCGGGCGTCGGCCTGGGCGGCCCCCAGTTGGGAACTCGGTTTTGTCGTGTCAGTGCCCGGTACTCACGGGCAATTGAGTAATATCCATTCCGGGCGAATTGCGATTTAATCATCGCGGCGTATTGAGAGGGGCTGGTACTAGCCCGGCCAGCTGGTAGCTGAGAGCTTGCAGCGTTGCCCTACCCATGCTCATCTGGGGAGGCGCCCAGGTGGGGTATCCGGATGCCAGCCCAATGCGCGCTTACCGCCACCAATTAGGCGCCTGCGCCCTCCGTTTCGAAGCTCCACTTGCACTCGGCGTGGGGAGGCAGGTGCTTGCTTTGGAAGGCGCTGAGTTGGGAGGCGTCAGTGGCTCACCGCGCAGTTGCTTGCCGACGTAAACCATATTTATTCGTAAAAATCAAAATTGGCGAGAACAACGTAACGTAACCGTCTTGCTTGGTGCAGTCATTTAACACCAACCCCGCTAATTTGTCTTGGGTCAGGTTTTTCAATAATATCAGAGACTATTCTACCTACGAATGGAAACTTTTATCAGTAAATACATACAAATACAGCGTTTTGAGATTGCCAACATAGATTTAAAAAATCTAATCTACGGAAACAGCCATATTTTCCTTTTTTTAAATGTCTCTTCAGCAAGGGATCGAAATGAAGCACGTGTTCAAATATTTTTAGATCGCTCAAAAGTGACGTCATTGGTCATAACTACCAAAATTACTTCGTATGGAATTCGTGGTGTTGCTGTAGATTAGTTTTGTTCGTACCTTAAACAACGATTCCAGGGAGTAGAAATACTGCACTGGAATGAAGTTCCGCAGAGTACAATTTTAGGCTCTTATTATCTTCCTTCTCTACGTAAACGATACGCCTTCGTCGATTCAAAACGTGACATCGCTATGCTGATGGTATGAATATTCTTTGCAGTAAAGAAACAGTAAATACAAAGAACAAAAATATCACATTTCCAAATTAGATTCGTAAAGGAGAATTAATAGTAAAAGAAGGGAAAATTATTTCAATGCATTTTACACTTCAAACAACTGTATACTCCATTGAAAATGAACGATGTGCGATTGACTGATGTTAAGATATCAACATTTTTGAGTCTCTCAATTCAGCCAAACTTCACAAGGAACGTCCATTTAAATGAACGGAACCCACTAGTTCATTATGCTACGCGTTCTGAATTCTTTCAAATGAAGTAGCCTGCATACTTGCCCGCTGTGTACATTTAGCGAAAATTCATTTCCACATGACTAACTAAATGTTTCGAAATAGTACCCCCAAACCCTGATTTGGATTTGCAAACGGCACGAAATTTACACTTCCGAGCTTGCGAAGAATTCAAGACTGTTCGGAATCTCTTTGATGATTTGAAAAATGATGCAATAGAATTGTCCAAAGACAAGGAAGTAGATTTGAAATTTAGCCATAAATGAGGGATGAATTTTGATGAATTTTGCTACGATCAGTGGCGTACTGATGGCGAATAAAGATACAAACTTAATCTTTAGTTTGGATGCCTGGATAATACCATTAACATGTGAGAGCAACAATTTGTTGGATTGAAAAATACAGTGACAATTTTCACAGTTATTCTAACACAAGTTTTGGTAATTCTTTTGGGCAATAAAATTTAACAAGAAGCACAAAAAAGTCAATGAAAATACCCTGCAGATATTTTTGGAAAATTTGTCGTTTTACCTATTGTCTTTGCGCGTTTGATTAAAGCGTCAAATTTTGAAACTAAGATCTGTTAAAAATCTTGCAAACGCATTAATAATTGAAAATTGCTCGTAATTAACATGTTTTCCCGATAAGTACACAGTATTGACATTATTTTTGACACTTTCAGTCACAGTCGCCAGCACCGAAAGAACGTTTTCAAAATTAAAGCTGATTAAAACTTGTATAAGTAGAATGACACAAGACGGACTGAGTAATTTAAATATTTTATCAACAGAGCACGAAAAAAGACGTGGTTGAAAATAGTATTTCTACAATAATTTAATAAATTTGTAAATGCGAAGAAAATACCAAAATTGAAATTTTAAACTATATCATGAAATTACGCAAATGTTAATTAATTTTGTCTAACAATTTATTGTAATAAATGTTTTCACTCCTAAAATTCAGTTAATGATCACGAGAGGAAATTAATGTCTCTGTCTTTATTTATGGAGTCTCCGTATTGTGTCGGTTCAACGGACACCTTAAACGTACGCTACTGGTGCACAAATTGCACTTCTTTCTACAGTACGTCACATACAGTTTTTAACTTTTTTACATTAAATAAATAGAAATAATTACGCAGGCGCCCAAAAAATGACTTGACACTTGTTTTCCACGGTTGTTTCTCGCGATTTAAACAGGCGCCATTGTCACTTTATACTAGGATTGGGCGCGTCGACTTTCATGGGGAGAGATGTGTCAAGTCTTTGGGTTTGACAACAACCCCGAAAAAAAAAACAATATCATGGTGGTTTGTTGCAATAAAAAACACTGACTGCCATTCTGGCTTCAGATTCGAATTCAGCACATCGACATGCATAGATAAACGTGTGTCAAGACTTTGGGTCTGAGAATTTTTTTTTTCGTGTGTGCCTGTGTTATTTATTTACAAATCATGTTCATTTCTGTAAATGGTGCATCACAATAACTTTCCAACATGATCTGGGAGACGAACAGCGAATTCTTGATAATTTTGTGCACAATAACTTGAATTATTAAGAATTCTTTGTTCGTCTTTGGACAAAGAATAGGGCACTGAAGTACCGTTGCCTCCAAAAATTGCCTACATCTCAGGCCACACCTACGACGTATGTCCTAAAACCATGCAAACCTTTAGAACTGATATGATATTGTGGACGCTACCTAACCACAGGCGCATCTTTCGTATTTTCAGTATTTACTTCCTGCAGCTCGAAGAATAGCTTTCGTCACAAACTATGTACATTGAAAATATTCAATTTGAACACAATTATTTTAGCATGCATTTAAGAAGCATCTTTGTAGGACTGAAGTTATGGGATCATCATCGCGATTTTCATTTTCCTCATTCTAAAATACCCAAAATAACTGATCTATTTCATAAGGAACACTCAGGGTTGGACAAAATACTTAAAATTTAATATTTAAGTACTTCGCCAAAGTAAGTATTTAAATACATACTCAAAATACATTAGATTTTCATTTGCTAGGTACATACGTATTTAAAATATTGCAAATACTCAAAAAACACTAAATATAATAATTTTGAATTATATATTTGTATTTCAACACTATATTGTAATTGTTAATTACGATAAATTAGTGTCAGTCATTCATATTTCTAAACAATAATTAACTGTAGTGTTAATAATTAATAATATATGTATAAACACTTTCAAATATAAAATGATATAAAAATATGTCTAACTGAAATAAACAGAATTTTCATTCAAACCGATTATTCATCCAACAAATCTAGAAATACATTCCTAGCTGACGAATGAAAAAACCCGCAAAGGAAAACAGTTGTTCAACTGGCACGGATGAAAATAAATTAGTGTTATAACAAATAAACGCTTTTTTACTGACTATTAATTGTCCAACATTTTTAATGATTTATATTTATCATTTAAAAATGAAGAGAATTCAAATTAAGCAGCTGAATAGAGCTTTTATTTTTGTTTCAATGAGGTGCATTCACTTGTGGAATCAAACAAAAAACTATCCTCGTTATCTTCTACTTTATTTATATTATTCACAAAATGTTTAGTATTTATTTTTTAAATACACCTATTTTATGTAAAACATATGACTAAAAAATACAATTTTTCAAACAGTACAAAATGTACTTAGAATATGTGTTTCAAATACAAGTATTTAAAAACTGCCCAACCCTGGGAAAACTCAACTAATTAAACGCTCCTTCACTTCTTGCACTGCAGGACGGTAGATGCAACACGGGTATTTATAATACATTTCAAGAATTTTGCCATGTTGTTTTTTAAGTGAGGGACTTACGTGGATCGCGCGGCCGCCTGCAGTTCGGGTCTCAGGGGGTCGCGGTCCCGGAACAACTGCGGGTTCCCGGAGCTGCGGATCGTGTAGAAGGCATCGAGCAGCCTCTTCGATTCCTCCACGCTGCCCTTCGTGTGCAGCAGGTACCACTGCAGGCGGCGTGGCTCTGGAACATCCCAGCAGATCCAAGGGAACGCCAAGCAATTTATAATAATAATAATAATAATAATAATAATAATAATAATAATAATAATAATAATAATAATAATAATAATAATAATATTTATTTTGCTACCGAATTGGCGATTGCCAGGTGGTAGCCAACCTACAGTTTTACAATATATGACATTTATGAATACAAAAAAATTTTACAATATAAAAACAATTTACAGTAAATTTGTCGAGCATATACACTCAGATAGTATATAACATACACAGACCTGTATTACATCTTATGGCACATATTTACACCATCACACACATAGTATACATACCACTAGCATACATACATACAATACACCACAATTCCTATACATGATTGCTCACTTCTCACGTTCACACATAAACGAAAACACACACACACTTGCCTAGATTTATACATGCCTAATTTTAATGAGAACATATATTTATTACACACTAGTAAACAATGCACATATATACATATTACATTAAAATTAACCCAGTTACACTCATTTGTTTTTAAATATAACACAATGTGGATTTTTGAAAGTTTAGCTCTTTTAAGCATTTAGAATTGCTCCCCCCTACTGTCGCATTCACTTCACTTCACTTCACTTTCCTACTACATTCACTCCACTCCCACTACTACCTTTCACTACATCTTTTCTTGGTTATGCATATAACTGAATAAATAGCTTTCCACTGCACTGAACTACACATTACACTTTATCTATAATAATTACAAATGTGTTTCCTGGAGCCTGTGCGGTAAATACAGCTACAAGTTACATTTTGAAGTCGTCTCTAAAAACACCAACAGACCAGGAAAGGCATCTACGAACGGCTGCAGGATTTCATTCCAATTTAACCGTACGATTTACAAATGATATTTCGCTAGCGTCGATTCTGAATCTACTTTTTATTTTGCATTTGTGATCGTTTCTTCCACTCTTGTGAGGGGAGTCTAGTCTTTTCGTTATTCTGCCCATGCAGGTTGACTTAACTGTACGCTGAAGAGCAAGCACATCTGCTTTTTTCTTCGCACGACTGAGCGGCTCTAAACGAGTGTTGGGTGGATTTGAACACTCGGAAGATCCCCTATTATGAATTGATTGCTTCTTTTAATTTTTTCTTAACTCTTCATTGACCTAATTCTGTATGGATCCCATCCAGCTGATGGCGTTATTCAAGAATCGGCCTATACTAAAATGTGTATCCTAATTTTTCAGACTCTCCATGTTTCCTATTTAAGTGTTCTCATTGACAAAGTGTAGTGACTTCCACGGCCTTTTCGGCATAGAAGTAACGTGTTCCCCCATCCCAAGTCTTGGCGTAATATGCACCCAGATACGTACAACACCGATACGTGATGGACATGAAACGCCTCCCATTGTATTCTAAAGGGAAACTTCTTTGCGTGATTTCGAAAAGCTTAGCTGATTTACTTTTTACAGCATTATCTTCATTGTTATTAATTGGTAGCCAGAATGAATGTTATTAAGATTCGGTTTGAAGTGTTGAGAATATCTCTCATCCAATCTATTCGCCGAATAACTTATTTGCAGTCGCCGCAAATAAGCGGCATTACTTGAGCTTAATACAAGATGCCGCAGATGCGTTGGATGAATGCCAGAAACACAGCGGTCCTAAGACACTTCCCTGGGGACGCCGGATGTAATTAGGGTTTCCTCTGAATGTTCATGTCCAACTCGAACTTGTTGAAAACCCGATTTTATCAGAAGTTCCCGGTATCCCATGCTATTACGCGATTATCAACTCCCGTAATGCTAATTTTCGTAAGTAGTATATCGTGTGAAACAAGATCGAATGCTTTTTGAAAAGATTCTATAACCAATTGCGTCTTGTCTCTTGAACCCGAATCTAAAGTTCAGCATATCTTGACACGTGTTATTACTAATTTGGCTTTCACCACAGAGAAGAGATTTGTCGAAATCCTGTTGGCCCTTCGTGATAACACCCGAGTTTGTTCCCATTCGCGACAGCAAGAACTTCAGCCACCACAGTTGTGTCCCATTATGTTTGGAAAATCACTGACGTTAGGCTTACTGTCTGTAATTGAAATGCAAAGAACGACTTCCGGTTTTAAAATATTGGAACCATGTAGCCCTTTTCCCCAATGCGTATTAGCACGCTACAGATTATTTATGCTTATTCAAATAATCGTGTAAGTATGTAATCATCGGTTTCCCCTCCAATTTGTAATAATTCTCCAGCGATTACCGGTCAAAAAACCCAACGATTTATTACTTCCTATATTGCGAATTCTTTGTCTAATGAAGTCGTTGTTGGATACTTGAAATATTTTCTCCCTCATTTGTTCCGAAAGTACTGGGAGTAATCGATCCTAAACCCGAATACTGATTGGAAAATTGCACTAAAATCGGATCGCTTCTGTCTGTATTGTATAGTACAAAATTCCGTTTTGTCTTTTTAAGTGGCACGGGAATAGATTCTTTAGTTAACCCCTTTTTCTGTTTTAGGTATCTATCAACAATTTCCTCAACAAGATCGTCGTTTGATAGAAATCTTTACGGAGATAATTATTCTTGCGCTATACGTTTTTGCTGCATAATATTGTTACGTTAGATCTTTGAAGAGAGCCGCAGTGAAAAATACATATTCATTACGATTAGCAGGTACGCTTTTCTGACCTTCTTTTTAGTTTTCTGAATTAGCCGGCTTGTAATACGGCTGGTATCACTATTTCTTTAACTATCTTAGTTGGCACAACAACTCTCTCCTATAAACATTATTTTGTATTAAATGAGTTCATATTTTTCTACGTTTCTACATTGTGATGCCCAAACGCCGTAGTTCCCTAATAATATTCCTGAAAACCTTTTGTGTCAGCACGACTGTACTAAATAATAGTTTTCGTGTGTTTTGTGAAGTACCTGGTCCTGTCACCCACCTTGCCAAAAGCAACGCCCTCGTGTTTCTACTAGTATTTAACCTGGTGTTGTTCTTGAGCTAGTCACGATCTGCCTCTGGGCGAACTAAAAAGTACGTCAAGCACCGCGCTAGCTCTATGTAGGGAACTTCAACTACCGGACGTTAATCCGTCATGATCCAAACGAAGATTCAGTTAACGAGGGATTGTCCATTGCTTTTTGCCATCTACCACACCTGCCCACGATATATCCGGTAAAATTTAGATCTCACCAATTATGAGATGTACCTGAAAGTAACCCCGGCATTTTTACTGTATTTCTTACTAAATTTATGTACTGCTGACAAGTTTCTCGTTTAGGAGCACGAAGATTACCGCAACTAATTTAAGATCGTTTGTGGCCCCATTCCCCGTAACTGAACACCTAATATCTCATGTACATTCATCTGTATTATTTCAAAACTGTTCATGTTTTTTCTTAACGAAATGAAATGCCCCCCTCCTATTTTATTTTTACGATCCCGTCTGTATGTAATGAAACTCGGCTAAATATTTCTGCGTTGTTTATCTCTCCTGTGAGCCAAGACTCTGTAACTCTATTATTACAATCAGGCCTATGTGTTCAATTAAACGTCAAATCACGACTATTTTCGAGCGGATACTTACCTACAATTCACCTGCAAGCAGTCGCCAGAATACGCCTCACCTGTACTGTCGGATGGCCCGCCACAGCCATCTCATTCCCGCGCTGCGTCTGATCCCGCGCCGCAGTCTCGTCCCCGCGCCCCCCGTTCGTCCCGCCCGACCGTCTCGTCCCCCTCCGCCGTCTTCGTCCCACGCCACACGTCTCGTCCGAGCGTCGCAGCGCTGGTACCCGCGCCGCCATCTCCTGGTCACAGGTTTCGCCCCGCACAGCCGTCGCGACTCGTCACTCACGACCGCTTCATCCCGTCCGCCGTCGTCGTCTTGTGTCGCCATCTCGTTCCTCGCGACCATGACCCCTCCTCATGTTTTAGTCACCGCTTTTCTTTCTGAGACAGTTACACGGCATGGAGTTGCAGAACACGCGAATTAAAGCTTCCTAAGAACTGACTGCTCCTCTTGCGATTTAAGTTGGAGTCCGTCGCGACCAAAGTCGGGATCTCGCACCAGGAGTTGGGGTCAACTGAAATTGACCTTAATGTTGTTTCGCGGCCAACCCACTCATTAAATCATTACGTGGCCGATAGCCCTCGCAGGACATGTCTCTGCGTCGTAGAACACCACTATACTACGATAGAAGCGCCGTGGAAACTTTGTCTTGGTAACATTGACAAGATCGTATATTTCTCCCATAATATATTCATTTGATTCATTTGAATTTGTCGTCTAATTTAAATAAAACCAAATAAACTCAATCTTCACTTTTTCACTTCCAACACGTTCGTTTCACAAAACAGACCACACTGCAGGCACCTAGCTTAGGGAAAGGGTTTGGGTCCCTCCTGAAATACAATCGTTCAGATGGGGGGAGGGGCAGCGGAGACAGACCCCGATCTAATTCGGGCCTTGAATATTTTGTTTTCATTCAAATAAAATTTAAAAAAATTGAAGTTTTAAACCAACAGCTATTCGCCATTTGTGTTGTGGATAGAAATTAATTCTGTTTAAATATTGAGGGCGGCGCTTTTGTTTTAAATTAGGGGCCTCGGTGGATCTACTGCTTCTTGTTTTGTCTGGGATCCTCTGCCTCTTAATATTGAACAATCAGTTCACCATCCAAATATTATTTATGAAACGAGATGAACTTAAGCGAAGTGGATGTTTAGATGAAAATATGTCAACTTTGTAAAACGCAGAATGGTTCGCCAAAGGTCTCCGACACTTTACAATATTGTTATGTCAAAACTTTGTATGTTGAGCAACCCCCGAAAGTATATTCTGGGTACAGGTTACGACATACAGGGTACAATGCATTCTAATTCCACTAGCCCGTTTCTCCATTGACAGTGCCTGTGTCTCGTCTTCACTATTAAATAACGCGATACATCAATTTAATCGGGAATAAAACACTGTTGAACCAGATATAATAATAA